TGAATACAATACTGTCCGTATTTTGAATTAAGAAAGATATTTCAGGCCAGGTTTAGTGGTGCATTCCCTTCATCCCTGCACTCAGGAAGCTGAGGCAGGAGGATTGTTGCAAGTTCAAGACAAACCTGGGCTATAAAGTGAGCTCAAGGCCAGCCTGAACTCTGCACAGTGAGACCCTGTCTCAGAAAAATAAAAAAAGAAAGAGAGAAAGAAAGAAATTTCATAAACTCTCTCTTTTTTTTTTTTTTGGAACCGGGGTCCATGCACCAAGCTATAGCCCCAGCCCTGTTTCCCTTTTGCTTTTAGCCAAGGTCTTACTAAGTGGCCCAGGATGGACTTGACCTTACAATCCTCCTACCTCAGCTCCCAGAGTGCTATACCTTACATTTTTATGAATATGCATTGTCAGGGACTGCAACCAGCTGTTTTCACTGCTGTTGCCTATGGTGCTGGGGCCTGGACCCTACCCAGCACATTGAACTGTGTCCCTAAGCCCTTTTTATTTTAGGACAGGTTCTGGCTAAGTCATTAAACTGGCCAGGTTGGGCTTGAACTTGCCACCCCCTCTGCCTTGGCCCTCCCTCCAGGGTGATGGCGTGACCAGCGAGTACTACTGTGCCTGGCAGCTCGACTGCTAGTTCTAATGCACGGTGGGAAGCACTGAGAGTATTCACCAAACATGCAAGAGTGCGACAGTCCTGGCACCCTGTGAAATAAATTAAGTCACTACGATTAGCACATCGTTTTCTCTCACTCTGTGCTATGTATCTTTTTGTGGGGAATGGGAAGACAAAATCTCTTGGGAGGATTTCGTTAAGAAGTCACTTTTCTTTCTTTAGGAAGAACACTGAAAATCTAGTACTGTCAGGCATGGTAGTACACATCTGTAATCCCAGCACTTGGGAGGCTGAGGCAGGAGGATTGCAGCAAGTTTAATGTCAGCCTGGGCTACACAGTGAGTGTGAGGACAGCCTATACTATATAGCGAGACCACATCTTAAAAAAAAAAAATTCCGTGCAAAGGTTAAGCAGTAAGGGGGGCCTCTTTATGTAGGAAGCAAAGAATGCACTGAGCAGCCGGCTAAGGGACACTGTGCCTGACTTATCACTGAAGAGGGTTTTCCTGGTGTTATGCAGATTAAAAACACACAAACAAGACCCAGTTGTGTGGGGCCTGGTTCTGCCCACTGAATTGGCCCCTCCTCCTCACTGCTGCTCTGATAAAGAGGAAAGGAAAAGTCCATGGGAGAACCGGTCAGGCAAAGGTGCTTGGCAGCTCCAGCTGAGACCACTGCTCCTGTGTGTGTGGGTGTGGGCGTGGCAGAGGGCCCAGGGCCCAGGGCGCAGGGCCAGGTGATGTGTCCCCACTAGCCATCCTCCATGTGTGTGTCTCCATCACAGCACACTGATACGCTCTGCCAGAGCTGTCCTGAAGGCACCTAAAGCCGCAACTGCAGGTCCCCAGCCCACAGCTAGGTGCTGTGGGAACAAGAGCAGTGTCCCCATGGGGCTGGGGGTTTAGCTCAGCGACATAAGCGCCTGCCTTGCAAGCAGGCAGTTGTGAGTTCGATCCCCAGTACCGATAAAAAAGAAAAAGACAAAAAAAAAGAGCAGTGTCCCCAGCACCCCCCCTCCATGGGTCACCACCTCGATGCTGGGCTCAGATCTATCCTCGGCTGGGACTCTGCGACTCTCTGCCTAGAGTTTGCTGCTCCAGTGCTGGGGCTTTGGGATTTGGGCAGGGTGCAGTCAGTGTCTCTCAGAGTGGGAGACACAGACAGTGTGGTGGTGGCGCACACTCTGGAGGTTGAGGTGGGAGGATTGCTGAGTTGGAGACCAGCCTGGGCTACATAGTGAGTTCAAGGCCAGCCTGAGCTGCATAGTGAGACCCTGTCAAAAATCTGCATGAGAGCGGGTTCTATGGGGCGACAGCCCCTGCTGCCACTGCTCCACACAGGCGGGCACCCTTGGGGAGAATCCAATCAACATGGAGGCGTCACATGGTGAAAACTCTTCCTGAAGCCTGGCCACGCCACCCACTGCTGTGCTGGTGCCTTGCTGGTCAGAACCAAGACAAAAGCAATGCTCCCACAGATGAGCACGGGGGACCCGTGCTGGCACTGAGTTAGGGGCAAGTGGGATTAGGACGCTTTGTTCTCTCACTCTGTCTTAAATGAACTTTTGCGGGGATGATGGAGATCTCCTGGGAGGCTTCCAGTAAGAAGTCACTAACGTGATTCACAACAGATCTCATTATTAAGAAATGATTTCGGGCCATAGTAGTAGTTCCAGTCACTGGGAGGCTGAGGCAGGAAGATCACTTGATCTCAGGAGCTCAAGGTCAGCCTGACAGCCTAACAAGATCTTGCCCTTCCTCCCCCACAGAAGAAGGGAAATTATTATTGTTCCCACTGGGAATGTTATGTGTGGCTACATTTAATAAACACCCTTATAAATACAAACCATACAGTGAAGTGATATGACACCTTGGGTTTCCTTTAACATGCTCTGGCAAAATAACAACAGCAAAAGGAGGAATATAAAACGGAGCTGGGTATGGTGACACATGTCTGTAACCCTAGTGCTCGGGGAGGCTGAGGCTGGAGTACATGTCGAAGCCCAAGCCGGGCAACTTTGTAGTTTAGTGAGACCCTTTATGAAATTATTGAATACACAGGTACATTATACCTACATACACACATTCAGGCTGTCAATATGCTCAGAACAAAGGTCCTATGTTCAACTCCCAGTGCCAAAAAAAAAATGAAGAAGAGGAGGAGGAAACTAAGACTGCTATGTGACGATATAGACAACTATTTAGAAGAAAACAAGAGACAATATGATAGACAGTGATGATCTCCTGTTGTTTTGCTTTAAAATCCATGTCACTTATACCTGCTTTGTTCTGTTTTGTTACATTTAGTTTTGCCCTTTTTAAAATAAAATTTAAAAAAAGAAACTAAGACTGGCTAGGTATAGTGATAAATACATGAAGAGTTCATTATATTAAATGCTCTACTTTTATGCATATTTTTATGTTTGTGATAAAAAGTTAAATGGTTATTTTTAAAAGAAATTTTAAAAAACACCACCCCAGTGCTCAGGAGGCTGAGTCAGGAGGATCTCAAGTTCCAGAGCTGCCTGAGCAATAGTGAGTTCAAGGCCAGTTTGGACTACCTAGCAAGAACTTATTTCAAAGACCAAAAACCAAAGACAAAAGCAGATTGAAAATAAAAACGAAGCCAAGCATGGCCCATGCCCATAATCCCAGCACTCAGGAGGCAGAGGCAAGAGGACGTCTGTGAGCTCCAGGTCAGCTTGGACTATACACAGCAAGACTCTGTCTCAAAAAATAAGTAAAATGAAAAGTATACTGTAACAACACTTTTCAAGGTAATTCCTTCACAAAAATCAAGTAGGATTTAAGACTACCACTGAACTTTTCTGACTCAAAAAGATTATCAGTTAGAAAATCCACCATTAATTTAATAGTTTTTCAGGGAAAATAAACATACAATGTTAAAATACACAGATTATAAATTATATCTCAACTTTGAAATTATTGGAAATGTGTAAAATGTGTCTCAGAGTTGAGGTATTTGTCAACTGTTAATTAGATTAAATGAAGTTTGGCCTAAAGCTGGCGTGTGCATGTTAGGTTTGGCCTACAGGTTTCTCCATATATGGTGAACTACAAGCCAGCTTGACTTGAAGCTGACTGTAAACTACTCTTTCAGCAAGTGGCTGGTCTGTGTGTGTGAATTCTGGGAGCTGAGGGCCACTTCCTTTTCTCTGGTTACAGGGTCTCACCTTGGTACTGGGGATGATGTTAAAATTTGTCCAGTTTGGTGCTGGACACAAATCAATGCAAAAATTTTCTCTTGGTGTTTTGTCATTTGTTTAGTATTGGACACACAAGCCACACCCTATCAGTATCTACTGCCTTGCGACTTGGTACCCTTTCCAGCCAAAATAACTTGTATGGTACTGATAAATTCTGGTCCTGACTCACCTCCCAGAGCCAATTAATGGTGGGGCCTGGGGGGACCAAGGGGCCACTCTATATAACCTGTCCACATCATGGGCACCACGTTCTGAACTGTGCTTAGTCTACCCTGCTGCTGGAGTGTCCAACTGTGGGTTATGCTAAGACCTGTGACTCCAGATTTGCTGTAACTTGTTTTTTTTGGTACTGGGGATCAAACTTAGGACCTTGCACTTGCCAGGCAGGTGCTTATACTACTGATCCACATCCCCGGCCCACTTTTTTTCTTTTTAACAATAAGAACTGTTGTTAAAAGGCTGAGTTTGAAAATAATAGTGTGCAAAAAATGGCATCAATTATGCATTTATTTATTTTAATCTAGTAGATCATTAATTTAGATGCTGGTGATTTAAAGCAGAGCCTTTTTACTGAGATATATCCTCAACCTTTTTTTTTTTTATGTTTTTGTTATGAGACGGTCTTACTTAAGTTGCTAAATCATCCAGTCTGCACTCAAATTTATAATCCTCCTGCCTCAGTCTCCCACATAGCTGGGATTAGAGGTTGCATTAATTAGCATAGTGGCTGAATTTTTGCCTTCCTTAAACTTAAAAGAAACTGTATGCCAAATAGGCTGGAAAATGCAGTAAACACGTTTCTACAGGTCTGCACACTAGACTCATTTTAATGCTGTCTGGCAGGGAGTTATAAAACTGTGAAGATGGTAAATGCCCAGTGCTCCCCTATCTATGGAACTATGAAGTTCGAATGCTTTGAGAAACAGCAGTCTCTCAAGACCATCTTGCGGAAGGGATGATGGCAGAGAGAGAGCCCACTTTCACGCTGTTTGCTATTCCACAGAGGAGAAAAAGGAAGCCACAGATCTAAACTATGCGGGGTGCTACCCTTCCGGGGTTCTTTCTCTTGGGCAGCGCAGGAATTGCTGGGCCATCAGCGTGCAATGCCTGGCTCCAGCCATCCCAGGTCACCCAGCTGTCACGCCGAGGGTACTTACTGTCCTCGGGCAGGCTGTTCTCGCGCTCCTCCCGCTCCATCTGCTGGCACCAGCCCTCCATGCGGTCACGCTCTGCCTGCAGCAGCTTCAAGAACCAGTGGCCATCTCGGTGGCATACAGACCGCTGCACGGCTTCCAGTGGGTCCTCCGTGATCGAGTCGATCCAGGGGTCAGGAGGCGGCAGGATCGAAGGGTCAAAATCTGCGTCAAAGTCGTCATCGGCTGCACAGGCGTGGTAGTGGTTGCCTGAGCCCTGGATGCTGACCGTGGAGGTGCTGGCATCCCGGGAGAACTGCCTGGCCATTGGGCCGGGACACGAATTGTCCTCTATGGATTCCAGAGAATTTTCCAGGTTATCATGGAAGTCCAGGTCAGCCTGGACGGCTGTCGTCACACTGTTGGATCGAGTGAACCTGCGGAAGCTTGAGAGAAGAGAAAGGAGATTCAGCTTGGCAGTCAATCAATCTTTCTTGTTTGTTTGTTTTGATTTTTGGAGACAGGGTCTCCCTATGTAGCCCAGAATGCCTTGAACTCAGTCATCTTCCCGCCTCAGCCTCCTGAGCACTGGGATTACAGGTCTACAGCACCACACCTAGCAGTTCAATCATATTTCTTGAAGCAAAACTAGTCTAAAAACAAAACAAAACAAAACACTAGTGTTTTCTTGTGTGACACTGTGTCGGGAAGGGGAACTCCTCATCGTGTCTGAGGTGGCCATCATAGATCTAATGATCCAAGGTAATGAACATGAGTCTTTCAACTTTGTTCCGGATCAAATATCAAAGCATAACAGGCAATTTTACAAGCAGGACAAGCTGGACAGCTAGGAAAGCCAGTGTAACGTCCAGCGTCCAACTCCTCCATTCCTGGGATGGCTTAAATCCTGAAATTCAGGGTGCCGATGGGGAAGGAGACGATTCTACTGTGCCTCAGTCTGCAAGGCTTGCTTGGCAAAGAGCAAACAGCAACCTGGATGGAGACTCTCGGGGACCCCGTGTCTTCCCGGGGCAACTCCTGCCGAGGAAGACGTCAGACAGCGAGCACGGCTTTTGGAGCTTCCCGTGAAAGCCTCTCCGGCCTGGGGCCTGGCCTGCCGCTGCTTCAAGCCGGGGAACAATCAGTGTGCACTCCCGCACCCCTCCTGCCTCCTCTGGGCCTTTCCCGCGCCTTCACACAGCTCTTCCCCAGTGACAAAAGACATAGTGTTAACAGGTCCCATCTGGGCTCTTCTCGCAGCTATGTTTGGGATCTGTGCTTCTCACCTCCAGAGCTCAACTAGAAGGGGGTGCGGCTGGGGACCAGCAAGGGAGCCACGGGGTCTCGGCCAGCCAGGAGCAGGGATTGTGCCGCGCATGCGCGTGCGTACCCACGCACGCACGCACGCACGCACGCACGCACCCATGCACACATAGCACGCACACCCGCAGTTTCCCTGAGGAACTGAGGAGCTGGCAGCGACTAGGAAACATGAGGTCACCAGAGAAGGTGAGGTCCTGTGTCTGCTGTCCTCCCTGTATTGATTTGAAGGTCACTTCCTGGTATTTTACTTTATTTTGGTAGGAGATTGAACTCATAACTTCGTGTTTTCCGAGACAGGCGCTTATGCCACTGAGCTAAACCCCCGACCCCTTATTTGTATTTTAATTTAATTTAATTTAATTTTATCTTACTTCACTAAGGGCTGAACCCAGGGTCTTCCCACTGAGCTATATTCACAGCCCTTTTTTATTTTTTGAGTCTAAGGTGAGCCCTTAAATTGCCCAACCTAGAATTTAGACTAGAGATCCTTCTGCCTCAGCCTCCCAGGGCATTAGGGTTACAGGCATGTGCCACATTGCCTGGCTTATTTATTTCTTACTGTGATAAATACAGCTGCCTGTGCTATTTTTAAGTGTACCCTTCAGTAGGATGAAGGGCATTTACATCTCCACTGCTGTGTTCATCTCGAACTTTCTTTTAAAGTTCATCTAGAACTTTCTTACCTTCTCCAGCTGAACCTCTGTACCCATTAACCACCCACCCCAGCCCCACCCTTCTGCTGATGACGCCATCTGTGGAGGGACTACTCTGTGTTCCTAGCATAATGAACTCATGAAATATTTGTGATTATTTTTGGCACTCAATCCAAAGTGGCACAGGAGAGATAAAAAGGAGACTAAGGAAGAGGCCTTTAATGAAGGCATGGGAGAGCTTTATAGGGGTGTGCGGATCTCAGGTAGAACAAAGCAGTGGAGCTACTTTTATCAGTTCTAGCTGGGGGAGTTTGGGAGGTGGGCAGAACGACATATTAATTGCAGATTTGAAGAAGCATCTGCCTGTGTAAAACAGGAGACAGATTCACTGGGGGCTAGAGGTGGAGGCTTGGGATTGGAGAGGGCTTGGTACATGTGCAAAAAGGTTTATTTCTGGAAGGAAGAGGAGAACACAGAAGTTGTCTTGGAGAGATGTTTGTTTCTCTGGTCTGGTACCGAGTTGGGTGGATGTCATGCTACCGAAAGCTAAGCCTCAGGCTACCGAAAGCTAAGCCTCAGGCTGGCGGAGCCTATCAGTTTGTCTGTCCCTCAGGCCACACATGTGTTGGAGCGCGTGTTTGGATCCCTTCACTTTGGGGGCGAGTGCTGTGCAGCCGTCCTGGGCTTGTAGCACTTTCTGTGCTCCTGTTCCTCTGCTCATTGATGCTTGCCTTGCTGTGCCCAGCTCTGAATAGTTTGCTGTGCGTTTAAGGCCGCATCTCCTTGAGACCCTGCTTCCAGTTCTTTGGAGCGTACGCCCCACAGTGGGGTTACTAGACCTCATGGTAATTCCCTTTTTCATTGTTTTGAGGAATTATCACACTTTTGCGGTTTGTAGCTGGATGTCCCCCAAGAACCTCATGCAGTCAGTCACAAAAGAGGCTCCTGGAAGGTGACGGGATCATGGGGCTCACAGCAGACCTGCCATTAGGAGCCGGGGTCTGACCGGAAGAGGGGAAGAGGCCGTCCCTGGGGCATGGCCCAGTTCCTCTCCCTCCACAGCTCCTCCCTTTGCTCCCTGCTTCCTGGGCAGCTCCCTCCCAACAGGCCCCACTGCAGTGCCTTGGAGCCGCTGAACATGGACTGAAACTGTAAGGAAATAAACCTTCTTCCTTTAAATTGCAGGTGCTGAGTCCCAGTGGTGGGGAAAGTGACTGAGACACACACTGTTCTGCACAGTAGATGCAGCATTTTGCATTGCTACCAGCAGGACACCAGGGTTTGTTTCTTTACAGCCTCGTTGGACTTTCCTGGTTTGTTGCCAAGGAGCATCCCAGTGGGTAGGAAAGGGTACACTGAGTAGCAGATCATGCCATTCCAAGACAGTCTGCTGCACGCAGGTTTTTTACTTTTTATTTTTTGGCTGCCAAGGATTGAACTCATGACCTTGTACATGCCAGGCAGGTACTTGTGCTGCTGAGCTGAATCCCCAGCCCCTGATTAATCTTTCCAATGTCAATCTTAAAGGATGGTGCACTAAACTGTGTTCACATAATTTCAAATACTGGATTGTGTGCTTGTTCTTAACTACCACAGACAACTCCTTTCAGCGACTCAAGCCAGGGAAAAGGAGTAGGCTAGCTCAGTGGTGGCGAACCTGCGCCCCACCTGCCACAGTGGCCTGTTCATATTCTTGAAAAAACGATGACTACTGCAACTTTTTGTCCTGAAGTGTTAACAGGAAGAGAAGTTAAGTCCTTTAAAGGGATCTAAACCTGTGTGTTTTGTTAAAATGAAACAGCGAGAGTTTAGTAGTGTTTTTATGAATCAGATAATTTTTTTTCCTTTTCAAAAAAACAAAACAGAGAAAGCTCTGAAAGGTTTGCCATCACTAGTCTAGTCTGTCAAAAACAGTGCTAAGAAAAATACAAGCAAGTCAAGATGTGCAAAACCATAGAAAGATTGAAAGTGACAAAAAGGAGAAAGTAGTCATTTCAATAAATCCCTTATTGTGCTGGGCATGGCGGTGCCCACCTGTAATTTCAGTACGCAGTAGGCTGAGGCAGGAGGGTCACCATGAGTTCAGTGCCAGTCTGGGTTGCACAGTGAATTCAAAGCCAGCCTGGACTGTGCAGCAAGGCCCTGTCTCCAAAAAACCAACAAATCAATCGATCCACCCCCGCCCCCAAAGTGGTGGACAACAAATCACCTATCTTAGGAAGACAGAGCAGCTGGAGCCAGTGTATCTAACCCTGGGGTGGTTTCTTTTGTTTTTCTTTCTTTCTTTCTTTGGTGCCAAGGATTGAACTCAGGACCTCGAGTTTGCCAAGTAGGCACTTATACTGCTGAGCTAAACCTCCGGCTCCCTGGGGTGTTTTCAAGTAATTGCATCTGTGGAAAATATCAGGTCTGGTCCCCTTTGTTAAGTTCTTTGGTTCTCAAATGGGTCTAAAAAGAATTGTTTAAAAAATTACATTGTGTAGAAGACTTCAAGCCACATTCCGTGCCTCTTGTATCAGCAGTGGCAGGAAAAACAATCTCTCTGAGACACTGCTGCCAGCCCCAGTCACTCCTTGGCTGCACCGGCTATCTCTGCTGCCTCCCGCCCGTCCCCACATGTGAAACGCCATGCCCTGGCTGCGCCATTGTGATCCGGGCGCTTCGCCTTTCAACCGCTGACATTTTGACTGTTCCACTAACACACAATCGCAACCGCGGAAACTCTCGGCTTTCCTCTCCAAGGTGATACCCTGCCAGAGGCGTCGAGTCTCCATCCGGGCACAGGTCCCCAGCCCTAACCATCCTCTGCAGCCCACGCTGCCAGGCACCAGCTGCGCGGCCTGCTCTCCGGGTCTCCGTGTGCATCTGCACGGAGCTAGGCTAGCAGCATTCCTGAGCGCCGTCTCCTGGCGAGGGAGCTTGTAAGCTATCCACCTTCTTAAGAAAAATAACTTTGCAGTAGATTAGTAGGAGTTTGTAGTGTAGTCACCCAGAAAGAAATAAAAAGTTAAGTAAAATGAAAATGGTTTGGGATTAAACGCGGCGCCTTTGAACTCAGGCAGCCCTTCCAAGCTGCTAGCGTCTATCAATTAAGTCCCCTGAACAAGTGCTTTCTTCTGCCAGCGCTTTCAAAGAATGTTCTGCTCCACAAAACTGTGTCAAGCCTTTCATGTGGAGAGTCCCTTCAGGGTGCAGGGTGCAATCAAGTAGTGATTACTGTTTTACATTTTTGATAGGAACACAGCAGGGGGTCGCTAAAAGTCACTGCCTTACTTTTAAAAAGGACCAAGCAGTGGTCAGTGTGCTGCCCAGCGCCTCGCTGCCTCCTCGACCACGGACTCCAGGCTGGAAGCTGCTTGGTTCTCATGCCCTGCGGGCACCACGTGAAATAATTTCGACTTCTGAAAAGCGCTGCCCATCTCTGGCAAGGAGCAGAAAGCTATGAATGAGAGACGAGGTGAATCCACATG